GTGTGTGTGTGCCTGTCTGGGGTATATTGTCTGTCATTTGTTTGTTAATGAGTTTGTCGAGTTTTTGGTGTAATTTAGTGGTGTTTTCGTCCGAAAGTTTAATTGTTTTTTGCAAATCGACGATTTGCTGTGTCATGGTTAGTATTTGTTGGTATTGTCGGGTGTTTTGTTCTGTCAGTTCGTGTATTTGTTGTTTTAGTGTCTCGTTTTCATGTTTTTGTGTTTGTAACTGTTCGTATGGTCATGTTTTTTGGTGAAGCGGAGACCCTTGAAGAGGGTCTTTCGCTGTCTGTATCGTCCATGTATATGTATATGTTCTCCTCGTTATCGGAGTCCGACATTTTGTGCGTGTGCGTGCGTGTGTGTGTGAGGGTGTGTATGAGGTAACTGATAAATAAAGTAAAAACTTACCTGGGCATAACCCCGGCACAGGTACCTGTAACAAATATGCCGACGGCCTCTATGGTTAAGCCGGGGTTTAGGTCGGTGGTTAAGAGGAAAGAAAGGGATTCTTTCCAGGTAGCCTTAATAAAGGCAGGTAGATCTTTCTCGTTGCAATGCACTTCACTTCACAATAAACACGTCCGCTCAGTTCGGCCGCTCGGTCGAGAATGAAAATTTCAGTGTCAAGGATTTTTAACTGTCGATGAGATAAGCCTCGTCATCGATATGTATATAATAAAAGACTCACACATGTTTGTTGATTTACTGATCGGACATAATTTCACTGAGGACGCATCGGTGTTGATTATTAAAACACAAAAACAATTAAGAATCACGAAATTGCCAACATATGAAATATTTACTAAATTTTGGATTAATCAAATAATTGATGAGTCACACACTTCAGTTTGAGGAATATTAAATACGGGGATATCAGTGTAAAGAAAAGAATGAAATTGTTTGACTTATTGCAACATTTCAAATCTAGGTTTTGTTTTACTTTATAGGAAATCGGTCATACTCGCTCAGCCGAAATGAATATTGAATTAAATTCTACTAAACCTGTCGTATATGCACCTTATGCTGTAATCCGCGAATTGCACTCAGAATATGCAAGCCCAATTTTACTAGTTAACAAAAAAGATGGCGGCACTCGAATGTGCGTCGATTATAGAGAATTGACAGATAGTGGCTTTATCTTTAAGGCTATGATTTTGAAATTGAATATAGAACTGGGACCAAAATGGCCCACGTTGACTTCGCGGCGCATTCCCCAACAAGTCCTTGTTATTAATAGAATCTGATCTGAGAATAAATGTGTCGAATTCGAGATATTCTTCGGTCTAAGGATCGAGATCCAAACAGGTAATAAAGTTTTTTCATGATAATTATACAATGAAGGGTGATGTTGTTTATCGAAAACTCGGAAATACAAAGAAATGGTTAGTTCCAAGATCAAACAGATGGCAAATTTTCAGGTTATGTCATGATGACCAAGGTCATTTCGGTTTAGAAAAAAAAAATTTATATAAAATTCAAGAGAATTATTGGTTCCCAAAACTGCGTCAGTTTGTAACCAAGTATGTAAATGCTTGTCTAAATTGCCTCTATTATAAAGCTCAGACGGGCAAAAGGCCTGGTAACTTAAACCCAATAGAAAAAATTACGGTCCCATACCATACGGTGCACATAGATCAATTAGGTCATTTTATTAAATCAAAGAAAGGAAATACACAATTATTAGTTATGGTCGACGGGTTTACTAAATTTACAATTCTTGAGCCTGTACGAAACACCAAAACCAAGCATGTGGTTAAATGTCTGCAAGTCATTATTGATATTTTCGGTGTTCCCACGCGTATAATTACTGATAGAGGGCAAATGGACAATGTGAACGAGTAAATTGCACCGGGTTAGGTGCATTAGCAGCCCTTAACTGGAAATGTTGAAGATTATATGTGAGACACTCAAGTTAAAACTGTTCAAAGAGGATTGAACACTACTGTTCACAAGACCATAGGGAGTACTCCCGCAGAGGTTTCATTCGGTAGTAAACCAAGGGGAATCACTGATGCGATGCTGTTGTCAAAAATTCAACAACAAATGGATTGTACTGATCTAGTTTCTCTTCGGAATCAAGTTAAAGATCGTATAGATCAAGATCAGGCGGTTTAAAAAAGGAGATATGACAGGAAGCGAGCAAAGGCACATAAGTACAGTATTGGGGATCTTGTGATGGTCCAGACGGATGTTTCTAACACAGGCCAAAGCCGCAAGTTACTTCCGAAGTACAAAGGTCCGTTCAGGGTAACGGCAGCGTTGCCCAATGACAGATATGCTGTTACTAAGGTTACAAGTAGTAGAGCTAACACCAGTCCGGTAATTGTAGCTATAGACAAATTAAAAGAGCACAGCAGCACGGGTAAGTGCTTGGTTTATCTGTAAGTCTCATATATATTACGTATAAGAGAAAGAGATTTGACTGTGAAAATGTGTGTGCTTCCATGTGGATGTTTGCCCACAAGATGCCTCGTAAATGTTCATCTCTGAGATGCCCCATAGAGGTTTGATTATGGGATGATTGGTATGTTTCCATGTTATTGTTGAACCACATGATGCCTTGTAGATGTTCATTTGTGGAATGCCCCATAGAGGTTTGATTATGGGATGATTGGTGTGATTCTATGTAAATGTTTGGCCACATAATAATTTGCTTGAATAGAAGGTACCTTCTTGTTATGATTGCTTTATGCTTTTTACTCTTCTAAACTCTTGTATTTAACTCCTGTATCTTTATGCTTACTGATGCGAAAGTTTTGCATATTTTGTAATGAACTAATTTTTATTGAAGTGCATTAGGCTTCTGAATCCAGTTTTGACCTGATTGAGGACAATCAGGAACACCAGGATGGCCGACTGTAAGCGGTACAAGCGTTTGGAATTTCAACATAGCCGGCCAGCCTTAGACGACTTTCTTTGGGTTATAAGTAATGAATAGGCGCTATTTCAATATAAACATTTGTGATTTGGAAACGGACAGAATACTCCGGAGACATTCATTCATTAATATACTGTTAACATGTTAACACGCTGTGAATTATTCTTCACTTATTATATTACCTTGTTACTACTTAATTTTCTTACACATAGTGAACCCTCTAACTCCGCCATTGGTTGTCAAGCTGTAGAGGATATTATGTACCTATTGTCAGTAGATTCCTTCCACTTAGTGGGAATAATAAATAAAAATCAATATTTTCCAAAATTTCTTCAACACTCTTGGTATGATAGGCACTCAAAATAATAAACTAGGGTATTTTAGTTCTTCTATTCAAACACGCAAATTAATAAAGCGAGTCTTAAAAAAATGCGTCTATATTGTACAAACTCGTAACCGCGTATATCCTTTCTCTGGCAACGTTAACATTTTAGTTCGTACTTAAAATCTAAATTTGAGATCCTCTATCATGTGGTGCTATGCATTGCATTTTTTCCATGTCACCCTGTATATATTTCGTGAAAATAATCTTGAAAATATTCATAATCTTCAATTTCAAGAAGGGACAGGGACATCAAGTCATTTCAATTGTAGTTTATCCTTGCAATCTAAGCGCAATTATTGCATAAATTAAAACGAAAGTACTACTACAAATCGGTACAAAACTCTACGCCTAAATTGGAATATTATAAGCAGTTTAATTTTATTATTTTATCTCAACGGTAAGGGAGATATACATATTTGAAAAGAAACATTTAGGAGCTTCATTTGACCTGCTTAAATATTTTCCGCATACATTAATTTTAACAAAAAATTTTATTTTATTTTTAATGGGTGTAATAATAAATTCATAGAAATTATCAACGAACAATGGTCATGTTGTTTTCCTTTATCATCAATTTATTACACATATATAAACAAAATTTAATGGACAAAGATAAAATTTATCAGACATTTTCTACAACAGGATATTGCCTTTGATGAGTTAATCATTACAGATGAGTCATTCTAACTTATTGTGTTGTTTCAGTCTCTCAAATGTAAAACATGTTTCCTTCACATACTCAATAACCACATGAGTATATTTAGTGTACTAGCACATTAATAAAATGATGTCTCCACAACAAAAAATGTTCAGCAAAAAAACATGTAGTTAATACATACAAGGTGTAACTTTAAGTGGAGGTCAATTTTTTTTAGGTGAAATAGTACGTGTTCCCCTGAATACGATTCTAAAATTCCTTATTTTTTAATCAAATAATTAGTATATTTTCAAACTGTACTTTAATTCTTATTTTCATGCCACCACTGAGCACCACTTGGAATTAACATGGTATGATGATATAATGAAATTAAATTGAGATCTCTAAGAATTTGCTCATAGGTGTAATATTATCTTTGGTAACCCAGCTTTTCAATCATCGACTTATGGGCTAATTCTCGTAGTTAGAATGAGGAGTAGAGATATTATTATTATTATTGTTATTATTATTATTATTATTTCTATTATATATTTATGTGTCCTTTTCTGTGTATTACTGTTTTGTGAATGTCAACGCACCCACTCGGGTGTGGACTTGCATTCGTTGAGTGTGTGTTGGTGTTTTTTTTTGGGGCCCCCTTGTACATTTAACGATTGTTTAGTCCCGAGAACAGCTCACACGGAGGCGGAACCTCGGCGGTCCATGGGAGCCTTTTGCACACCACGGGAGGTGCTACCACCACCCAGTCTCCTCAGGAACCCACTTACGTCAATCTATAGCAAAACGTCGGTTAGTCAACAGCAGTGTTGGTGTTCAGTGTTAGATAGAATGTTTTACGTTGTTTTTGTTTTGAACTTGATTATTTTCAGTTGATTTTTACTATAAACGTGCTACATACGACAAAGAATTTTTAATTCGAGGAGGCGCGGGGTAATTTTCGTAAACTCCAGTTTCTTCATCCATACACCGATGTTAATGTTTAATTTTCATTCACCGATCTGGAATATGTAAAGCTTTATAATTCCACGGTCCGTTTCAATTTTGGTTTGTCTTCTGTGTATGGTGAAGAGCAGCTGTGCTGTAGATTTGCATTATTTACCCGAGAACCGTCTTTGTCGTTGTACCCCAAAAGGTTATTTTTTGCTACTCGAGCATGTATTTTTTAACTCCACACCGTCACCACATAACGTTTAGTTTTAACAGAATTGCATGACAGATTTTAGCGGCCAGCATGACCAGTTTTCTTTAAACACATCCCGCCGACATTTTTCCGATACCGCCATCCCCTAACGTTGTCTAAAATGTGTACCTGTTTCCAGGCGAAAGAAGAAGTGTATACGATATATGGAGGCAGGAGATGGAAATGATGGGAATCAATCCGACGACAACCTAGGCAGCTGCGGCAGCATGGGGGACGCCCACACCCCTCCCGAAGACGACAACGAGAGCTTGAATCAGTCGATGTCGAGTCCCGGGGGTCTGTCCGCCCTGAGCAGCCTCACCAGCCCAGGAGGGATGGTGTTGCCTAGTCCGTCGACCAGTGTGGCGAGTCCCTCCGTCAGCGTGGCGAGTCCCTACATGCTGCAGAGCCCCCTGACGCCTCACGATTCGTTCGACGTGAAGCTGCCTCCTCCGCCCCTCCATCACCAGCCGACTCGGAATCCCGTGGGGACTAACCCGCACGACATCAACAATCCGCTCAGTGTTAACCAGTTGACGGGACAGTGCGTCAGGAACGATCCGGCCGACACAAACGGTAACAAAGAGACGGCTCGTTCGATAATTAGTGTTACGTAGCCTTTAGTGAAGGGGCTCGAGGGTAAGGATAGCCTGAAACCACCTGTGATCGTCGTAACAGCTCGTCTAGCGGGCCAGCAACTGTTGGGACTGAGTCCGAGAGCTTCGGTGGAAGGGACTGCGTTTGTATGTGGGGCGATGCAGCGCGCTGATCTCATTAGACTCGAGTGCTGCGGGTTTTTTTTACTATGTAACATAAATGTCATTTGCCAAATTCACCTCTATATATTATATATATATTATAAATATCCCTTTATATTTTCTAGTTATTTATCGAGGGTTGAATGGTGCCACCGAAATCAACGTACTTAAAAGTGTTCCGTATCTTGTCGCCAGAGTTCATTGGGAATAAGTATTTGCGGTACCAAGTAGACTTTACAAGATATACGAGTACAAAAAAATTTGTAACCTTACTTTNACCGCTACCAAAAAGGATATAATTCCTCGAGTCGCAAGATGGTGGCTTTATCTTCAAGACTATGATTTTGAAATTGAATATAGAGCTGGGATCAAAATGGCCCACGTTGACTGTTTAAGTCGCATTCCCTAACAAGTCCTTGTTATTAATATAACAGAAGCTGATTGGCTCCTGGCGGCTCAATCACAGGACGAGGAAATATGTCGAATTCGAGATATTCTTCGGTCTAAAGATCGGGATCCAAGTAATAAAGTTTTTCATGATAATTATACGTTGAAGGGTGATGTTGTTTATCGAAAACTTGGAAATACAAATAAATGGTTAGTACCAAGGTCAAACAGATGGCAAATCTGCAGGTTATGTCATGATGACCAAGGTTATTTCGGTTTAGAAAAAAAAAACTTTATATAAAATTCAAGAGAATTATTGGTTCCCAAAACTGCGTCAGTTTGTAACCAAGTATGTAAATGCTTGTCTAAATTGCCTCTATTATAAAGCTCAGACAGGCAAAAGGCCTGGCAACTTAAACCCAATTGAAAAAATTACGGTCCCATACCATACGGTGCACATCGATCATTTAGGTCCTTTTATTAAATCAAAAAAAGGAAATACACAATTATTAGTTATGGTCGACGGGTTTACTTACAATTCTTGAGCCTGTACGAAACACCAAAAATAAGCATGTGGTTAAATGTCTGCAAGTCATTATTGATATTTTCGGTGTTCCCACGTGTATAATTACTGATAGAGGCACCGCATTTACGTCGCATAGATTCCGACAGTTTTGCCTAGATTTAGGGATCAAACACATTCAAAACGCTGTTGCCACGCCCAGGGCAAATGAACAATGTGAACGAGTAAATCGCACCGTGTTAGGTGCATTAGCAGCCCTTACTGGAAATGTTGAAGATGATATGTGGGACACTCAAGTTAAAACTGTTCAAAGAGGATTGAACACTACTGTTCACAAGACCATAGGGACTACTCCCGCAGAGGCTTTTATTCGGTAGTAAACCAAGGGGAATCACTGATGCGATGCTGTTGTCAGAAATTCAACAACAAATGGATCGTACTGATCTAGTTTCTCTTCGGAACCAAGTTAAAGATCGTATAGATCAAGATCAGGCGCTTCAAAAAAGGAGATATGACAGGAAGCGAGCAAAGGCACATAAGTACAAATTGGGGATCTTGTGATGGTCCAAAAGACGGATGCTTCTAACACAGGCCAAAGCCGTAAGTTACTTCCGAAGTACAAAGGTCCGTTCAGGGTAACGACAGCATTGCCCAATGACAGATATGCTGTTAATAAGGTTACAAGTGGTAGAGCTAACACCAGTCCGCCAATTGTAGCTATAGACAAATTAAAGCCATGGATAACTTGTTAAGAGCATAGCAGCACAGGTAAGTGCTTGGTTTATCTGTAAGTCTCATATACAGGGTGATTCAAAAAACCGCTGACAGACTTCTAGGGTAGATAATACATATAAAAGTAAGACGAAAAGTTTTAATAAACATAGGGTCGCAAATGCCTCCTTAACGAGATACAGGGCGTCAAAGTTTCTGTAAAATTAAACATTGTCTGCAATAATTCCAAAATGCCTGAACATTTCTATTTCAAATTTGCTATGCGTAGTTAGCACCTTAAGACCAATGTTTGATGTACTGCTCAAAATTTTATGAGCAGCAGTGTCGTAGAGACGGGGTCAACGTGACCCTTTTTTAAAAATATTTTCTACGCCACTGCTAATTTTGTCAAAAGGGCACTATTTTCGTGTAAAGTGTTCAATTGTCTATCGAATTGGTCTCTTGCAAAATTTGGATTAAAGCAACCATTTTTAAGAGAAACACCTTTGTAGAAAATTTGTAAATCCAATTTTATTTTTATTTATTTAAATTTCGCATAGTAGGCTTGTGCTATTCAAAATAAAATTAAACATCGCCTGTCACTAATGTCAATGTGTACAAGTGAGTTAAGTAAACTAGATTATAAGCTTCTTTTTGTCATTTTTACGCTTTAATTTTACAGAAACTTTGACGCCCTGTATCTCGTTAAGGAGGCATTT